AAATGCTCTCCCAATGCAGCAATGTGGAGCCAAGAATGTAAATCAAAATATTTAGTAATTCTGTGTTTGTGTTCTTTATTAATACACATTGTTCCTGTTAAGACTTCCCTTTTGGTAGAACTATTACAGACTGAAGAATAAGATGCTGTTTGTGCATGATTCTCCATACGGCAAAAAGAACCCTATTTAAGGGGTAAAATTAAGCCATCTGTGGTGGTGTTAATTTTCTTCTTGTAAACTGGTCCTTTTAATGGTAAATCATTAAAATACACAAACTGGGGCCGGCCCCGTGGCCGAGTGGTTAAGTCTGCATGCTCCGCTTCGGCAGCCCAGAGTTTCACCAGTCAGATCCTGGGCACAGACATGGCACCACTCATCAGGCCACGCTGAGGCAGCATCCCACATGCCACAACTAGAAGGATCCACAACTAAAATATACAACTATGTACTGGAGGGATTTGGGGAGAAAAAGCAGAAAAAAAAAAAAAGATTGGCAACAGTTGTTAGCTCAGGTGCCAATCTTTAAAAAAAAAAAATTATAAGTACATAAACTTATTTCACCTTCATTGGATGTCTTCATCATAAACAAAATTGTGTGTAACCTGCACAGGGTGCATACCCATTTTTATTTTTTACTTTCTGATGGATTTTGATAACCATACAGTCACTTCTCCTTCACAAGCAAAATGCAATAATAATAAATAGTAATACCATCAATTTTATATTTATTTCTTCCCATAGAAAAGCTGAAAATGTCATCACAGGCTTTTATATGTTTGTTTTTCTTCTAATGGCTTCTGTTAAATCCTGGAAATGAACAACAAAAGAATGAATTATTAATTCCTTATTCATCACCAAAGTGATGAAGTTGTCACTGCTGGGAAATACTTAAGGGATATAATGCATATAAAGCCATGTTATTAAATAAAGGCACTTAGAGAACTGATTCAAAGTAGGCATTCAGTAAAAATATATGTTGAATGAATGAATAAATGAATAAACAAATGAAGTTGAATCAAGGTTCCTAAGTTCAATTTTTTATTTTCCTTTATTCTTGAGAGAAAGTATTTTTTTGACATCTCAAAATGTTGGAATGTTATGTTGGATCTATGAGACAATTACAAAAGGAATAACATATACATAATAGGAATATCAGAAAGAGAAGAAAGAGGAAAAGGAAGAGAAAAAAGGTTTGAAGTAATGATGGCTGAGAATTTTTTTAAATTAATGACAAACATCAAATCACAGATTCAGGAAGCTCAGAAAACACTAAGCAGGATAAAACACACAAAAAATTTACACATTGGCATATCATTTTCAAACTGCAGAAAATCAAAAACAAAGAGAAAATCGTGAAAGAAGCCAGAAGAGAAAAACCCACCTTATCAATAGAGGAACAAGGATAAGAATTTATTAGACTATTCTTCCGAAACCATGCAAGCAAGAAGAGAGTAGAATGAAATATTCAGTTTTAAAAGAAAAATACACCAACCTAGAATTCTATATCTAGCGAAATTATCCTTCAAAAGTGAAGGAGAAATAAAGACTTTCTCAGATAAACACATATTGAGGGAGTTATCGCCAAGTTAAAAGAAGTTCTTCAGAAAGAAGAAAAATTATGTCACAAACTCAGATCTACATAAAGAAGAGAAGAACCTCAGAGAAGGAATATGAGAGCAAACTAAAATTTTTTATTTTTCTTACTCAATTGATCTAACAATAACATTGTTTGTTTAAAATAATAGCAACAGTATAGTAGGTGATCATTGCTTATGGATAAATGAAATGAATAAGAGCAATGTTGTAAGAGACAGGAGGAGGAATTGGGAATACACTGTTACGAGGTACTTGCACTACCCTTGAAGCAGTATAGTGTTCTTTGAAAGTGGACTTGGATTAGTTGTAAATATATACTGCAAACTCTAGGACATCATCAAAAAAAGTTAAAAAAAGAAGTAAAATTGATACATGTTATGGGCTGAACTCTGTCCCCCACAAATTCATATGCTGAAGTCCTCACCCCCATATGACTATATTTGGAGGTAAGGTCTTTAAAGAGGTGATTAAGTTAAAATGAGTCCATTATGGTGGGCCCTAATCCAGTCTGACTGGTGTCCTTATAACAAGAGGAAATCTGCACATACAAAGAGACACCAGGGATGTTCATGTACAGAGGAAAGGCCATGTGAGGACACAGCAAGAAGGCAGCCATCTGCAAGCCAAGGAGAGAGGCCTCAGAAGAAACCAAACCTGCCAACACCTTGATCTTGGACTCCTAGCCTCCAGAACCATGAAAAAATTAATTTCTGTTGTTTAAGCAACCCAGTCTGTGGCATTTATTTTTTATGGAAGCCCTAGGAAAATAATACAATATGTTAAGGAAGGAGAAGAAATTGAGTTACATAAAATGTCTCATTAAAACCATAGAGGCAGAAAAAGAAAGACCAAAAAAAAGAAGCAAAGAACAATGAATTGCAAACAATAACAAACATGGTAGATATCAATCTAACTATATTAATAATCTCTTTAAAGGTCAATAGTCTAAATATGTCAATTAAAAGAGAGAGGGTGTCAGGGTGGATAAAAAGACAAGACCCAACTATATGTTGTCTACAAAATCATGTTGGATCCTAATATGGGAAAATGGATGCAAGTGAACTGAAACAAGGGGGGGAGGTAAATAACATCTAACAGAGTAGTGAAGAAACTCCTAGGTGAGAAAACTTACAAGACTGTGTGCTCCACAAGAACTCTGTCCCCAGTGCCTAGAATGGTGGCTGGAATGTAACAGGTGCTCAACAAATATTTCTTGAATTAATACACAAATTTGAAAATCTGACCGTCAGGAACCTAATGTGTATGATGATCCAACAACCACCACCAAATCAGTCATCTACTTGAAAAAATAAACAAAGGTTATTCTTCAAAACAGCCCATTAAATATTTCTGTGCCTTCACTTTGGGTTTTCTTCAGAGTTTAGTGTTAGCTTTATTCAGAGTTTAGCCTGCCTTATATGGAACCTTTAGAAACAAAAAGGGAAATTAAAGAAATAGGATGTAGAAAGAAACACTTTCAACTCTAACCTCCTTTTCCATTCTCTCTCCATATTCAAGTGTGGAAGACTGAAGGCCAGTAGCATGAAATAGACTTTTCTCCTATATATATGATTTAAAAATAGACACACACACACACACACACACACACAAAATGATATCTCAAAATACCACACAGAGCTCGTTAGTTCCAGTTTTTTTCTTGCAGTAGACTCAATCTAAATGCTGATAGAAAAGGGAAGAATCTAGCAATTAAGAAAACCAGTTTCCCCATCCAGATAATTCATGAGTTTCCAGTGTCATATCTACCAGCAAATAGCTATCCAGAATAAAGTAAATTGTTTTTGAAATTTTTTCCTCTATCAGTTCTTGAAAGCTTTAAATATCCTAGGCTAGAAGATTACTTATTCTAAAAACATAAGTTCTTGTCTTAAAGTCAATATACAGGAATGGACTGAGAACTTCTTGTAAAACCCTGTGCTACAATTTAAAAAAGACAAATTTAGATTTTCTTAAAGCCACCTTAATTTTAAAATCTACATTTGGCTGCTAATAATATAAAATTAACTCCTTCTTAAAAGCAAAGGAATTAAATTGCATGGCATTGAGTTCCAATTTTGGTTTACAATTTAAAAGGAAAAAGTCTTATTTACATAGTCAAAAAGGTTTCAGGGAGCAGTTTAGATTTTTCCAAATATAATTTCTGAAATAAAAGCCTGAGACATATTTTGTTTAAACAAGTTACATCTCCTTTATTAGGATGGTACTGATGGAAAGTTTTTGATCTTTCAATGAGTGGATAAACAAAAGTTTTTGTTTGGTCTATTTCAAAAGAAAGTCTTATGCAAATGCAAAGTCTATTTCAAATGCAAGTCTTATGCAATATGCAAATTAGATTTGCATCTAAATAAGACAGCAGGTGAATAGGGTTAATTTGCTTGAGAAAACAAGTTTCTTGGGAGCAGTGTCTACGTTTTGGTCATCTTTGTCACCTCTAGGGACACGCCATGCACATAGCAGATACCCAACAAATGTTTGCTCCATTGAAATGCTTCATTAAATAGACTGTTGATGTGAAGACAGACGCTGCTAAACAGAAATGAACCTCATCTTTTTATTGCATCAAGCTAAAATATTTACTTAATAGTTCCAGCTATTGAATATAGAGTACTTGAAAGACATAAGATCACACTAAAATTAATTCTACAATTCAGGTTTATCACTAGTCAGACTGACTCTCCCCAGATAACTAATTTTTTTTTAAGTTTTAAAGAGAGTATAAAATTAATTTCTAAAATGGCTTCACTCATTTTTCGTGAAAGTAAAAACATTTATGAAATAACGCTTTTCTTGTTGAAATGGAAGAGAGTTATCAACTCTGTTCGAGTCAGAAATAAAGAGCCAATCCCTTCTTGATGTTGGTAGTGCGTTGGCCTGTTTCTTGGACTTATGTAAGGATTTTAATGATTAAAAGATAGCTTATATTAATTGGTTCCATTATTGGGGTATGGTCTGTGGCTCAAATGTATGTTATGAATGGCAGCGAGAAACCTAACTCACTCTGACACAGATATAAATGAATGTGGGCTACTAGAGGACCCTGAAGTGTAATGTGGTCAGAACTACTCTTGGTCAAAATTAAATCTCATCCAAAAATTTGAGAGAATATATAAAACCATTTTAACTGAAAAGCATTTTTTTTTTTAATAAAGAACATTTTTTTTTAAAGATTTTTTTTAAAATTTTTTCCTTATTCTCCCCAAAGCCCCCTAGTACATAGTTGTATATTCTTCGTTGTGGGTCCTTCTAGTTGTGGTATGTGGGACGCTGCCTCAGCGTGGTTTGATGAGCAGTGCCATGTCCACGCCCAGGATTCGAACCAACGAAACACTGGGCCACCTGCAGCGGAGCGCGTGAACTTAACCACTCGGCCACGGGGCCAGCCCCAACTGAAAAGCATTTTTAATATTTTATATGAACTTTCATATAAAGAACAGATTCAATAGCACAGGAGTAAACTCAAGTAACAAAGTCATTTTAACTAGAGTTTATAAAATACAGGAAGATTTTCAAGCAAATAATATTCATAAGACTGTATGATTTCGTTAGGATTCATTAAGATAATTCTTGTGCATTAAAAAAGTGGCTGTAAGCCAGCTTCCCACCTTATATTAAAAATATAAGATACATATGAACACAATAGCTTATGTGTTTAGTTCAATTTTCATGTCTTTGCTGTCAAGTGGCAAAAGAAATGGAAGGAAATTTTTGAAAAGTCACACTGTATTTAATATTCATAATTCCCATTCATTATAACTAAACTATAGAAACTATAGATTTTTTATAGTAAATGGGTTATCAAAAAATATTCTATACTGGGGCCGGCCCAGGGGTGTAGTGGTTAAGTTCACGCGCTCCGCTTCGGCACCCCAGGGTTCGCAGGTCTGGATCCCAGTCGCAGACCTAGTACTGTTCATCAAGCCATGGTACGGCGGCATCCCACATAAAATAGAGGAAGACTGGCACAGATGTTAGCTCAGGGCCGATCTTCCTCACATACACACACACACACACACGCACAAATTCTATACTCTTACGAGAAGTTTCCTGTCTGTTTCTCTTCTCTTTCATGCATCTGAGAACCAGGTTGACACCATTTCCATGCTGCCACTTCCACCATGTACCATGTGACAGCTAAGCCTCCCTACAGTCTTTATAACACTAAGAAACCACAACTGCATAACACAATTTAGCATGGTGAAAATTTAGGCTTTTATAAAACAGAAAATAGAATGTCAAGAATGTCCTTAAAGTCTATCTCACAATAAATTTCATATGAATTAGCTTCCTATAAAATAAATGAATTTAAGTGAATTAAGAAGACAAAATGTAATTAAAACATCTGAGCAACATTGCACGTATTGATGGCGATTTTCATCACTCAACCTAAAATGGAATAAGGAAAAAAGAATCTCAGAATTTTTACATTAGTTTTCTTTACAGTGATTCATTACACCTTTAATGAAATATTTCAAGATATTTTAAGAATATAAATCAATTAGCATTCCTTCTTATACCTCGTTAATAGCTAATAAATGGTTACTTGGATTAAAAATGCTATAGTTGCTAAATCATTGCTGGTATTTATTAAATTATACAGCAAAGAAACATCTCTATTAACTTACTGCCCAAGTTTTTTCATGATCCCATATGTTGTTAAGAACAAAATACCTTCTCTGCAAACAAAATAATTTGTCATAACACACACACAAAAATCAACTTATGTTTAATTCGTGGTTAGTGAATTACATCTAATGAATCCAAAAACACCTCAATAGGGCTGTTGTACAAATTCTGAATAGAAATCTTTGCTGTATTAATGTAGTGCATGTTGAGCTTTCTTAAACACCTTACGTTCTTTTTTAAAGTTAAAAATCCATCAATCAGTGATTTGTGGCTTTATACCAAGTTTCCTTTTCACATATACTTCAAATGAACCATTGTATTGAAAGACAACAGGACTTCATAAACTTGGCAGATATATAAGAGAGTAAATACCATAAACAAAACCAAACCATTAATCTTGTCTATAAAATATAGGGTCCCTGAAGAAAATGTAAAAAATTAATGCTTTCTTTATATGATACAAAACTAAAGTGTGAAAAAAAGAAACTTGGTTTATAGCCATTTAAAGTAAAATAAATAAATTTATTGTTTAAGTAAAATACTGCTTAATAATTCCATTTAATAACTTCCTGTTTAAGTAATATAACCTGTCTAATAAAATAACCTATTTAAATAAGTGTAACTATGCAATCCTAACAGTAGGCCCACAGCACATTGAGATTTTAAGAGGGTGAGACGGCATAATTGTTCCTGTAAACGAGTTAATCCTAAAAGGTAATTTAGTTAAAAGTGACACTAAAATTTCAAAATTACTAGAAAAAAAAGATGCCTAATGAACATATTCGTGCTGTTTAAAATTTTGTATCCTTCCAGCACACAGCCTTCTACAAAACAGCAAGTAATTCATCAAACATTTATAAATGAAAGACTTTTTGTGATTAATTCAAAAATCTAAAAAATGTCTTTCTAGGGGCTGGCCCCGCGGCTGAGTGGTTAAGTTCGCGCGCTCCGCTGCAGGTGGTCCAGTGTTTCGTTGGTTCGAATCCTGGGCGCGGACATGGCACTGCTCATCAAACCACGCTGAGGCAGCGTCCCACATGCCACAACTAGAAGGACCCACAACGAAGAATATACAACTATGTACCGGGGGGCTTTGGGGAGAAAAAGGAAAAAAATAAAATCTTTAAAAAATAAAATAGAAAATAAAAATAAAAAAATAAAAAAATAAAAAATGTCTTTCTAACCTCCTATTCCAATCTTTGTCTCTTATGATATATAATAAGAGAAGATTTCAGGTAGTATTTTTATAGATTTATCATTAAAGAAACTTTGCAGACTTCTATTTCTAGTAATGGTGGGCTAGATTGTTCAATCTAATCATCCAGTTGAAAACCACGGATATGCTAGTTAAATGCTAGTTAAACATCTCCTCAGAGCATTGAAGAGCTGTCAAAAGACTGGAAAGCAAAAGGTCATAAATCTAAGGGAAAGAAAAACCCAGATAGGTACATGAACACCTGAACTCCTCAACCATGTTTGTCCTGAAGACATTTACTGATCCAGGGAAACGTCCTTTGGTTTTGGCAGTCTCACCTGCAACAGGAACAGATGTCAAGGCCAAGGGCCAACTCAAGATGAGGAATCAAATAGGATCTTAAAGGGACACACCAATTAGAGTATGGATAAACCAGACATAAACACACCCCCACCTCTCACTCCCTGTGGAACGTGGGAGGCTGAGAGAGTAAAGGAAAAATATCCTGAGAACTTGAGGCCATGGGATTTTTAAAAGGTTCGTATTCAGGAAACTTAAGCTGTCAACTGGTTTTAAGATGGTGACAGACTGGTGGTGTACCAGGCACCAGGCAGAAGCAAAAGTAAATCATTCCATGAGGAGGCATCTTCACTCTAGGCTTTATAAAATCTCCCAAAAATATTTTTTCAGGAATAAGAAGCACGCAATGACACAGTATCATGAAGGAAATAACCAAAACAATAATTTAAAGAAACAGATATGCAGAGACTGCAGACATTGGAAATATTATATACAGATTATAAAATAACTATGGCTATTCTACTTAAACAAATAAAAAGATAACCCTGAAGGTATCTCAGAGGAACAGGTAACTCTAAAAAGAAACCTAGCATATTTGTAAAAGAACTTCTAGAAATAAAAAATGTAATAAATTATAAGCATATTTAACAGTGCTAGAGAGATTTAGAAAGAAAAGAGACAGAGAAAGGGGCAGACAGAATATTTGAAGAAATATTGATTGAAAAACTTCTCAAATTTGATGAAACTTATTAATACATGCAAGAAACTCAACAAAACTCCAAGTGGTATAAATTCAAAGAAAACCACAATTAGACACATCATAATCAAATTGTCAAAAGACAGAGAAAAGCTTGAAGGCAGCAAAACAGAAGCACCTCATCATATACAAGGGATCCTTAATAAAATTAACAGCTGATTTCTCATCAAGAAACATTAGAGGTCAGAAGGCAGTGGGATGACATACTCGAAGTGCAGGAAGAAAAAGATTATCAACAAAGAATCCTATATCCAGCAAAACTATCCTTCAAAAATTAAGGCAAAACATTACCAGATACAGAACTGAGAGAATGTATCACAAACAGCCTGCCATACAAGAAATATCAGGGGCTGGCCCCATGGCAGAGTGGTTGAGTTCACGAGCTCTACTTCAGAGACCCAGGGTTTTGCCAGTTTGAATCCTGGGTACAGACATGGCACCGCTCATCAAGCCATGCTGAGGCAGCATCTCACATGCCATAACTAGAAGGTCTCACATCTAAAAAAAAAAATACAACTATGTACCGGGGGGCTTTGGGGAGAAAAAGTAAAAATGAAAAATCTTAAAAAAAAAAAAAAAAAGAAATATCAAAGGGAGTCCTTTAGGCTGAAATGAAAAGACATTAGACAGTAACTCAAATCTATATGAAGAAATAAAGAGCACTAGTCAGGGTAACTAAATGGGTAAATATGAAAAGCAGTATAAATGTATTTTTTAGTTTGGAATTCTTCTTTTATATCTCCTATCTGATTTTTAAAACTATATAAAGGAGGGCCCACCCCATGGCCGAGTGGTTAGGTTCGCATGCTCTGCTTTGGCCAGGGTTTCACCAGTTTGAATCCTAGGTGCAGACATGACACCACTCATCAAGCCATGCTGAGGCAGCATCCCACATGCCACAACTAGAAGGACCCACAACTAAAAAATACACAACTATGTACCAGGGGGCTTTGGGGAGAAAAAAGGAAAAATAAAGTTCTTAAAAACAAAAAACCTATATAAAGGAATGATTACAATTGGTGTTGATGGGCATACAATATATAAAAATGTAATATGCATGATAGTAACAGCACAAAGGATGAAGGAGGAAATGGAAATATATAGGAGCAAATACTATATATATATTTATATACAGTATTTATATACTGTTGTAATTAAATTGTTATTTTGAACTATATTGTTATAAGGTAAGGTTTTAATTGTAATCCCTAGGAAACCTAACAAAAAAAAATAACTCAAAAAACAGATACAATAAAAGAAATGACAAGGTAATTAAAATGGAACACTATAAGATATTCATTTACTAAAAAAGAAGGCAGTAATGGAGGAATAGAGGAACAAAAACACATAAGACATATAGAAAACAAATACCAAAATGTAGATCTAAATCATTCCTTATCAGTAATTACAGTAAATGTAAATAGATCAATATCTCCAATTAAAAGGCAGCAATTAGAAGAATGGATTTTATCTTTAAAAAAAGACGTAATCAGGGGCTGGCCCCGTGGCCGAGTGGTTAAGTTCATGCGCTCCGCTGCAGGCGGCCCAGTGTTTCGTTGGTTCGAATCCTGGGAGCGGACATGGCACTGCTCATCAAACCACGCTGAGGCAGCGTCCCACATGCCACAACTAGAAGGACCCACAACGAAGAATACACAACCAACTATGTACCGGGGGGCTTTGGGGAGAAAAAGGAAAAAATAAAATCTTTTAAAAAAAAAAAAAGACGTAATCCAACTATTACTGTCTACAAGACACACATTTTAGATTCAAGACATAGATTCAAAGACATAAATAACTTAAAAGGGAAAGAATGGGAAAAGATACATCACACAAACAGTATCCAAAAGAGAACTAGAGTGACTATACTGATATCATAAAATAGACTTTAAGACAAAATTTGTCACTAGAGATAGAGACAAAGAATGATATTTTACAATGATAAAAGGATTGATTCATCAAGATATAAAAATTATAAACATATCTGCACCTATCAACAAAGACCCAAATACAAGAGGTAAAAATAGATAGAATTAAAAGAGAAATTGACAACTCAACAATAACAGTTGGAGAATTCAACGTCTTACTTTCAAAAATGAAAAGAACAACTAGAAAAAAGATCAACAAGGAAAAAGAAGACTTGCACAACACTATAAACTAACTAGAACTAATAGATGTCTATAGAACATTCTATCTAAGAAAAGCAGAATACATATTCTTCTCAAGAGCACAGGGAACATTCTCCAGAATAGACCATACGTTAAGCCATAAAAGAAGCCTCAATAAAGTTAAAACTATTGAAATCATACAAAGTATGTTCTCTGAAGAAATAGAATGAAATTAGACATAACATATAAATTAGGGAAATTCACAAATATGTGGAAATTAAACACCACATTCTTAAATAACCAATACGTCAAAGAAAATATCACAAGGGATATTAGAAAATACCAAGATAACTGAAAATAAAAACACAACATACCGAAAGTTATGGGATTCAGCTAAAAT